ACAAAAAAAAAAAAAAATTATATTCCGTTTTTTTTTTCTTTTTTTTTTTTTTTTGCACGATCCACAATAAATCAATATTGTTTTACATTCACAAAACTACGACATGACGCCATTCATTTTAAGTATATCGAATAATTAAATCACGTTAAACGACAAAAATTTAGAAAATTCTATTCCTACGATTTCAACAACCTTGATGATGATGATGATGATGATGATCAAAGTTTGATCAAGGCGATTTTCATTCTTCGAAGAAAAAAAAAAAAAAAAAAAAAACAAAAACTTCATAAATAAATACATACGTAAAGGCATGAAAAAATGTGCATGTCGAATCATTTCTCAGAAGTATCACGTACTGACTTATGGAAGCATCAAACCATGCATGCAACGCAAAACCAAAATATTTAGGCTCACAAAAAGACAAACCAAAAATAATATTCAAAAAAAAAAAAAAAACAATAAAAAATTATTTTATTAACCTCCGAGAGTCGTTCGCAACACCTATAAAACATTTCATTTCATTTAATTATATATATATATATTTTAAAAAATCTGTTTTTTATGAGCGAATCCTTGCAGCAAACCTTCCACTCCCCCCTCCCCAAACAACACGTCATCATTCAGCACTCGAATCCTCCCCCCCCCACAACATTCTCCTTTTGGTCCTTTTTTCCCGTCTCTCTGTGTTCACATTTTGCCCTGATACATGATTCAGGAAACCCAAAACCCACTCACAACGGTCATAATTTAACCAAAATAATAAATTTTTTTTTTTTTTTTTTTTTTTTTAAAGTTCAACATCCTGCCACCCACCAAAAAAAAAATTGAAGCACTTTTGATATACGGACCAAAAAAAAAATTCAAAAATTTTATCTAAAAACCACTGAACTCTTAAAAATGTGATTAAACGAAATAGTAGTTAAAGCAATAAACACGTGATTAATTATTTGTGAAATATAGAAAAAGAGTGAGTGAGAGAGAGAGAGAGAGAACGAAATCAACATTTGCAACAAATCGAAAGGCCATCATGGCAAAGAGTGCCTTATTTCCACTAAATGCCGTTTGAAAAAGCAGATAAGTCAAAACTTGTAAGAAAACAATTTCTGATCGATAACTGCTCGCATATCTTTCGACACCCAACCAAAACCACCCAAAGTCCTTTTGAATACAAAAACCCCCCCCACTTCCCCTCCTCCTTCTCCTCACTCGAGCACTCAAATGTCGCAACCAAAAATTGATGCTCATGTTAACACAGTACAAAACCTCTTCATCCAAACATTGAAGTTGACGATGAGTGAATGAAGAGGGGAAAAAGGGAAGGAAAGGGAGGGGGAGAATGTGGAAATTTCAAATTTTCATGTGTGTCACATAATTAAAACTCTTCAATACACATAAATAAATAAAAAAATTTCATTTTGCCCTAAAACCGACATAACATCGAGTCCAATTATTACGCGCGTTTGCTTACGTAAAATGCACAAACGCACGCGGCGTACGTACGTACGCATACATATAAAGTATGCAGGAAACGGGGAATTGCATTCTATCACGGTATTATCAGGAAATGAAGTAATATGCAATGTTGGTTATACTTTTGTCACTGTTACATTACTTGAATAATTTTTTTCTTTTTTCTTTCCCCTTCCCTCTCTTCCCCCTTTCCCCCCGCTCGTACATTCTTTTTTTGGATGCGACCGTAACAAGTAAGTTACCTAATGGAAATGACATCCTTTACCAATTCATACAGGTTTTGTTTCGATGCATCATTATTTAATAAAAATTTTTTGTAACCTGAAGACGAAAAAATACGACTCGATAACAACAATTAAATATGATATTCGAGCGAGCGAGCGAGTGAATGAGTCGAGACTATAAGTAATAATGTAAAAATATTCGTAGGTTGTACTCGGATCGACATTTTCATTTTTCTTTTTGGCGCTTTAAAAAAAAAAAAAAAATGTACGTTTTAACGATGCCTGAAACAAACATTTCCCATTTCCTGCTGCACCGCGACGTTTTAATTTTCTCTCTCGAAAAGAAAATTCCAATCGTTACGCGATTTTCATTAATTGATTCTTCCTATCATTGAGAGCAAATACATTTACGACCCTGATGGGTGAGTTTCCGAATCAAGTTATCAAGTTTAAACCTGTCAGTGTGTTGTTATTAAAAAAAAAAAAAAGGGAGACAACATGAGAGAGAGAGGGGGGGGAATAAGGAAAGGAAAGGAAAAGGAAAAAAAAAAAAAAATTGAAAAACGACGCCGGTCTGGCACCAACTCATGTTGGTTTTAAATTCTTACCTCTTTCCCCCCCATCCCCTTCCCTCCCCTCATCCGCTATTTACAATCGTAAAAAATTATTATTATTATTATTATTCATAATTTTTTTTTTTTTTTTTACGGAAAACATCCGTAAGCCCACACATTTATTTATTTATTTTTTTAATAACCAAACTCCACACGCCAATTACAACTTTACACACGCACACATACACGCATACGAAAAGGCTTTTTTTTTTTTAATTTGAATTTTATTTCATTTTTTTTTTTTATCGACATGACAATTCTACTTCGACACTCGTTTCTCCTTTCCACCATTCGCATAATAATAATAATAATAATAATAATAATAATAATAATAATAATAATAATAATAATAATAATAAATTAATCGTGAGTGGTAAAAAAAAAGAGAAAGAAATAATAAAACGATTGAAAGGGATTGTTGAAATGGGAAAACGAGAACAACAAAAACGGGGGGAAACTTAAAACTTCTTATCCACCATCACACGTTACCAAGTTTTTTTTACCAAAAAGATAGAAAAAAAAAAATTTTTAATAAAAATAACCGACGTGAAAAAAAAAAAAAAAAAAAAAAACGTTAAATTGCCTAAAAAACAATTAATGTAACTTAATATGTATGTCTCAATGTCGTTTTAAGCCTCTTCTTCATTTCTTCATGTAAATCCTTTTTGTCTGTCCCTCCTTTTTTCTTTCTCAAACAATCATATAATGAATTTATTACTTTTGATTTTTTTTCCCTTTCCTTTCTTTTCTTTTCCTTTTGTTATAAAATATTTGAATTTAAAATATAAATAAAAAAAAAAAAAAAAATGCTATTGGAAACAAACAAATAAACAAACGAGACAAAAACATTAAACAAAAATTATTGCTTCCCATGTGCGACTGTTAACTTTCCTTATTTTTCCTTATAATTTTTTTTTTTTTTTTGGAACCATGTTTGCTGCCGCCTACATTCCACAAGTTTATATATATAATCACGCGGCCTCAAAATTATCAAATTTAATCATTTCATTTGACAAAACAAAACAAAAATATTAATTAAAAACAAATAATTACTCAAAACAAACAAACAAACAAACCAAAAATGAAAAACTTTACAAAAATTTATCATCTCATGTTTAAAAAATCATCACAGATATCAATGGACGAAAGAGAGAAAAAGGCATCACAATCGCATAAAGGTCCTTCACAAATAATAATAATAATAATAATAATAATGTTTAAAATATAAAAAAAATTTACCTGATACTTACTCCCTTGACAGAGAAAACAACCCAAGTAAGAAAAATCATTCAAAAAAAGGGATAATTTGGAAAAGAAAAAAATAAATTGCAACTAAAAATTAACTTCTACTTTCTTTTTTCCCTCCCTCCCTCCCTCTCTCCCTTCCTTCCTTCCTCTACACTTTCAAAACAAAAAAAAAAGAAAACATTCGCATTAACCCACTTATTTGTTTAAAAAAAAAAAATTTGGACTTGGAAGTAATTCGATAAACATGATTTGCTCTTTCCCTTCAGACAATGGATTTATAAAATTTAAAGATTTGAGATGATGATGATGATGAGAGTGCACATATGAATGTCATGCAAACAAACAACAGAATAATATCCTTTTCAAAAATGACATTACAAACAACAACAACAACAACCAAAAACCGAAACCAAAACAAAACAATAAAAAAATTTTTTTAAAAAAAAAAAAGGAAAAATAATATATAATTTTTTTTTAAAATATTTTTTTAGCAATCTGGTCTCTATTTTGTTGTGTGATTGTTATTGTTGTTGTTGTTGTTGGCATTAAAAAAAAAAAAAAAGATAAGAAAAATTGTTTTTCAATTAGATTTAAGAAAGCAATTTTATTTACTCAGGCATGACTTATTCGTTCAGAGAAATGATATAAAAATATTTTAGCCTACTAAGAAACTTATATTTTAAATGACTCATTGAATCTAAGTGTGTGTGTGTGTGTGACTAACTAACAATATAATTTTTGATGTGTGTTTCAAATCAATTTGAATCATTTCATCAAAAAATTATTATTACTATCAATTACTTTTGTTTTAATCATTACTTAAATGTATACTATTCACTTAATTAAGATAAAATGCATCCTTGCAATTTGGAAATGAACAAACAAACAACAACCGAGTAAAGACAAGTTGAAAGTTAATGCATGGCACAACATGTTTTAGAAATGCATATTGGAAAAAAATAAAATAAAAAATCCATCAATGAAAAATTATTTAAAAATTCTCATTATCCATTGTTTGAAATAAATAAAAGAGTAATTAACAATACCGCGCATTAACAAAAACTTATTTTTAAATATAAAAGAATATTAAAATAAAATAAAAAAGGAAAAAGGAAAAAAAAAATTTCTCTGGCATGCATGAACAAGTAATAACAAGATTATTTTCATTGAATTAATAATAAACGCTCGTTATAACTTGCAATGGTGGTACCCTTAATAACTTTTTTCTTTTATAATAATTTCAATTTCCAAAAATAAAATAAAAAAACTACGAGATTTTATACATTTAAGGGTTTAATTACGAAAATAAAATAAAATAAACCGATTTTTAGCGTCATTTTTTTTTTTTTTTTTTTTTTGAAAAATGAAAAAAAACAAACATGGTGTCATTTTAGCCGGTTAATTAAAGTTGGCGTTCTGGATTTAGAATAATAGCGGCACTTACCTCATATTTAATACCGGCAAGTCGAAGCCAAGTTTCAACCTTAAGGCAATAAGGAGAAATTGATGGAATGACCGGAGTTCTTGAAAATTGATACAGATAAACGACATCTTTTTCAAAATTTTGCTTGTGTACGGCTGGTTTGGGTGGCTGAACAGGAGTTTCGGCTTCTGCTTCCGTTTTCCCTTCTTTTTCCTCAATCGTTTTCGTATTCGAATCGTTAATCAGTTCTTTTTCCTCCTTAATTTCTTTCGTTTCTTCAACCGTTTTGTTTTCACTTTCCATTTTTTCTTTTATATTTGATATTATTATTTTCTTTTTTAAACAAATACAACTACTAAGAGATTTTTTTTTTTTTTTTAATTTAAGTCTACACAACACGATACCGTGCAACAAACTGGACTGACAATCCTGGAATAGCGTCCCTTCTTCGACAGCTTCACAGATCACTTCGTTTAAATTCACAACGAATGAAGTTTTTAATACATTAAGCAACACAAAACGACAAAAAACAAAAGAAAAAATAGATGTAAAAAAATCAAAATTATTCTTCACATTTTACATAAATCTTTTTTAAATCCTTTTATTTTATTCATTTGATAGTTGAATAAATTTTATTTCGAGTATTTTCGATAAAAACATTCGATTTATCGAATCGAAGAACCGTTAACAAATGGCCGTTAATATATGGTCGCTGTTTCAGTCGTAGCATTTTCTATCAACCTTTTTCGTTTTTTTTTTTTTGTTTTTTTCATTTTATCCTGAATTAAAATTAAAATTAACGCGTTTTAACAACGTTTTTTATATGTAATTATAATTAATTGAATATATATATATATATATTATAAGAGATTGATTTTTGTTAATTATGTGTATGTTGCGTAAACGTTGTGAATCTACCCGATATACGGGGTAATACATAAAATAAAAACCCACGCTGTGACGTATCAACTACGTGAGTCAAAATAACGTTAAATATTTTTCGGGTGCAAGACAATTCGAACGAAAATTATTTCTAATGAGGGCACGCCCTTGTTTAAAAAAGTTTTTCTTGTGCTTTCTTTCTTTTTCCTTCCTTCCTCTCTCCCCTCCCACCCCCGACATGTAAAAATGAACATTTTGAAAATAAATTTTATATTTTTTTCAATTAATTATTTACAATATAAGTAATTCGATTATTATTATTAAAAAAAAACCAACAACAATTGTTAATTATTAATTATTATTATCGTTTTAAAATATGTTTACTTTACACAATGAAAAGAGAGAGAGAGAGAGAGATTGGAAAATTATTATTATTATTATGATTATTATTAATTATTAATATTTTATTAGTTTGTTGCAAAAAAAATAAATCAAAAAAAACAACAGCAACAAGGCGGAGAGAAAAATGATTAAATTCAAATGTGATAAATTTTTAATTTGTTATTATTATTATTATTTTTTAATCGCCAAATTTTCTAAATTAAATAATAATAATAATAAATTTTTAAAGTTTTTTAACCCCTTTCAAAAAAAAAAAAAAAAAGCAACAAGAGAAAAAAAAAAAAAGATTTAATTGAAAATTTTTTGGGCGTCGTTAGAAAATTAAATTCCAAAAATATCCTAAAAAAAAAAAAAAGTTTTTTTTTTTTTTTAACGGTGGGCGTCTATTAACTGAGATTATAGCCGTAAAATAACTAATGACCGTTTTTTTTTTTTATTATCATTATCATTGGGAAAGACGTCTGCTTACACGCCGTCTATTTAGTCATCATCATGTAAAAAAAAATGTTAAATTATATTATTAATAAATTCGATTTCATTCAATTACATGACAATCGTCTCACCATAATCAAAACCACCCCTAACACCACCCCCACCCCCACCACCACCACCGCCGCCATTACATAACCACCATCCCATCTTAATTGTTGATGGACGTAAACGTTTTACAATTTAATTGATATAATTGTCGCTTTTAATATTTAAAAAAAAAAAAAAAAAACACGTATTACTTAAATCATCAGGACCGGCTTAAGGATATTTAACAACAACAAAAAAAATCATTTTCAATATGGCCGGAGGAAATTAATGTAAACGAAAATTTTATTTTATCATCATCCCGACGATTTTGTAAATTTCCAAAAAAATTCAATTTTTTAATTATTTATTATTATTAATAATAATATTAATAATAATAATAATAATAATAATAATTTATGTAATTAAATATATTTAAATCCGGTCCCTTGGTCAGTGATAACGAATAAAATACGACATTAGAAATAATGATGATGATAATAATATCGTTTTATCGTTTTCCCGAAATATTTTTACTTCGGGGAATTTCAATGATTTATTTATTAATGGCACACGCACACCCGCACCCCGCACACACGCACACAAACTCTCGTTACATGAAATTTAAAAAAAAATTAATTAATTAACGATGACGATGATGATGATTTGTTATGAAATTATTTACATTCGGCAAATGATTTAAATTATTATTATTATTATTAAGTAAATAAATGAATAAAATCTTTTCTTTTTAATAATAATGAAAAACAGCAAAACGACAGAAGAAGAAGATGAAAGAAGCTGCCGACATGAATAAAATGATTCATAAAAAAAAAAAAAAAATTATGGCAAATCGTTATAAACTCGAACTTATGTGAATCATACATGAATGATACAAACAGAGAGTGGGGAGTGAGGGGGGGGGCCTGACAAAGACCCTAAGGTACATTTTTTTTAAACCCGAAATTTAATTCCCCCCATAAAAAAATCCAAGAGAGAGAGAGAGAGAGATTCGATCCCATACATAAAAAAAAAAAATCAATTAATAAATGATTCATAAAATTTTTAAAAAAAAAAAAACGTAACAGGTGGCGACGACATTTAATCATCATCATTATTATTATTATTATTATTATTAAACAATCAACGCGATCCCTGTGAGATTTTTTTCTTTCTTATTATTTAAATAATAATAATAATAATACTATTAATCGAAAACCCTTTTTTTTTATTATAAATTCGTCATTTGAACTTAACCTTTAACACATTTGACCTTTCGAGTCTACCAGACTAAAGCGCCAGATAATAATAATAATAATAATAATAATAATAATAAATTTAATCTTTATTTATTTTTTATATATATAAAACCCGTTATTTATTTATTTATTTATTAATTAATTTAAAATTTATTAATTAATAATTAAATAAAATTATTAAAAATGTTATTAACAAAGGAAAAGAGAGAGAGAGATAGAGAGAAAAAATGTTAAATTTTAAATTTTTTTTCCCTCTTTTCCCTTTTCGAATTCCATTCCCATTAAAAAAAAAAAAAAAAGGAATGATGCGATGATAATAATAATAATAGTTTTTTTAAATATTTTCTCTTCCTCTCCCCTCCTCCTCCTCCCCCCGAGGGAGAGAGAAAATATATTCATTAATACGTTAAATTCTTTTATGTTCATTCACAGTCGAGAATTGTGTGTGTGTGTGAAGAGCATTAATCATACAACCAATTTGTAACAATTTATTTTAATAACAGTTTAATGTTACACAAGAATTTAACTTCTCAACTTCACGACATATTCTATATATAAAAAAAAATTAAAAATTTATTATTATTATTATTATTATTATTCCCTCCCCTCCCCTCTCTCTCTCTCTCTCTATTTTCACTTTAGAAAATTTTTTTTACGTGTACGTTTATAAAAAAAAAAAATCATTACTCTTAGCTTAATAATAATGATGATAATTATTTTGTTTTTTGTGTTTTCCTTTATGTATAATTAAATATTTAGAACAAGATGATGATAATAATAATAATAATAATAATAATAATTAAATTTTAACGATTTTTATACGGACTTAATGTATATATATATATATATATGTGTGTGTCTGTATATTAATTTTCCAATTCGTACCTCGAATAAATATATATTAATAAACTTTCTCTCTCGAAAAAAAAAAATTAATTTCCCCATTTTTTTAAACTTAAATTAACATTTAAAGTAATAATAATAATGATAATAATAATAATTATTAGTTTCGCGTGTGTTTAATAAAAAAAAAAAAAAAATTCATCATAAAATGTGTTACAAACACACACACACAAAAATTTTACAAATACGTATATTTTTTGTTTCCCCTCCCCTCCCCCCCCTCTATATCAAATAAAAATTATTTATTAAAAAGCTTATTTAAATTATTAATAATAATAATAATAATAATAATGATGATGATTTAAATTTAAAAAAAAATGGTTTCGATCGCGATTTCGATTTCGCTAAATTTTTTTAACAAAACAATAAATTGATAATTTGTTTTGTTTTCTGTTTCTGTTTGTCCTTTTGTTTATATATTTTTTATAAATGACGTAATAAACAAAATCTAAATTATTTAATATAAATAAAAAATATATATAAAAGTAAAAAAATAAAATTAATTTTAAAAAAAATTTTTTTTTTTTTTTTTTTTTTAAATCGGATCGAATAAAGGCGTTTCTCTTAAAATTGGGTGTGAATTTTTTATCAAGTGCGCAAGACGAATTTAATTTTTTTTTTTTTTTTTCTCTACAAACACAAACACAAAAACAAACGGAATTGTTAACAACAACAACAACAACAACATAAAAAAAAAAAATTTTTCCATCGAAATCTACCCCTGGAAAAAATAAAATAAAAATAAATAAATTTTGGTCCACGAGTTTACAACATCATTTTTATGATAATACTCGACGTTGATAATAATAATAATATTAATATCCTTTTATATTAAATTATAAAATCGTTAAAAAATATTTTTGACAAGTCAAAGACAAAAAAACATGCCCCCCAATTAATTAATTAATTTTCTTTTTGTTAAAAAAAAGGGCTTTTCTTTCAATCAATTGATACTCAATAACAGTTTTTAATTTTTCAATTTAATAATTTATTATCATCATCATCATAAATATATTTATTTATATATTTTCTTATCAGTAAGTAATAAAAGTTCCAAAATGTAAACAAATTATCATCATCATCATCATCATTATTATAGTATTTTTATTATATTAAAAAAAAATTAAACTTTGGACTCGCAACGTGTCATCATCATCATCATCATTATTTAATTTATCGAAAACAATCCATTTATTGTTATTCGATATCGATATGAAATGCAACAATATTCGATCGTAAACATAAAAAAAAAATAATAATAATAATAATAAAAATTTAAAGCTATTTAAAAAAATAATAATAATAATAATATAAAACGACATTTTTTTTTTTTTTTTTTTTTGGGGGGTATTGCGACAAAACTAACAAAAAATTTTTTAGAGCAAAAAAAAACGTAAACAGCGAGCGACAAATAATAATGATAATATGATCTTTCACAATCTTCCATTTTGATTTATTATTATTATTATTATATGTAATGTTAAACAAAAACATTTTTTTTTAATGATAATATTACGGTATGAGTAATAACGCTTCAAGCTTTTTATGCTATTTGCTGCGAATAATAAGGCCACTTATTACTAAATATATAAAAAAAAAAAATTACTAATGATAATATAATTTTCTTTCTCTCTCTCTCTCTCTCCCTCTCTCTATCTCTTTCTACCTTCGTATCCTTTTAAAAATTTTACTTTGTTTTACCCACGAATTACTTTCTATTAATTTATTATTTCGCCATGTTTTTGTCCAATTTTTTTTGTTTTTTTTTTTTTTTTTACGGAGACGAAGTAAGCAAACCGCTAATCTTGGCAGAAACTTCACCGGGTACGGATTGAAGAACGTTTGAAAATTCTACTGGAAAATCTTTTTGACACATTCTTAAAAATTCGCACGTCATGGCTAGAACGTCTGCAATGGGGGGAAAAAAAAGAAAATTTTAATTCAAAGTTACGAATTAGTAAAATTTTTCGATTTTTAAATGAATCAAATTCTTTTTTTTTTTTTTTTTTTTTTTTTTGCACCTTCTTTTCCTTGCTTGTCATGTAAAATACTGCAACATATTTTTATAACGTCCATTAAATGTTTTAATAATATGGGATGACCTAATTGATACAAGTGACCGAAACATTTCAACACGGCAGAATGTTCTTCGAAATCTTCTCTGAGCGGAAGTCTCTGTAGGAACCCGGGGAACACCTGCAATACGTCAAATCGTATTATTTCCAACCTGAAGACTTGATATTTTCTAGTATTTTTTTGTAATTTTCCAACTCACAATGTCCATGGGTACCAATTCCGTATTCGTTATGACTAGTCGGGCAATGGCGCCGCATATGTTATCGATTGCATTATTAAAAGTTTCTCTAGATAAAACGTTCGAAAGAAGATTTAATATTTCGTTGTAATGCCTGATTTTGCGGTTAAGGTTAAACAAAAAAAATTTTCGTACGTTATGTAAATTTAAAACTTATTGTCTTTCCTACTACTACTACTACTACTACTCTTTTTTAAAACATTCGTTAATGATAATTTATATAAAAAAAAAAAAAAAAGTCTCTCTCTGAAAAATAGGTTAACGACGTAAAGAATTTAAAAGACCGAGACGAAGGTGCAAGAAGCACTCGAGCAATTTCATCTCTCTGAACCTTATTTGGTACAATTGAAACAATGAGAAAATGTCAGGCCAGAAATTATTTTAAATTAACAGACTTGAAAATTTCAATTCAAGTCTTTCCTTTTTCCTAAATAAATGGATACGGAAAAAGCGGATCTTTCGAGTGAAAAACCAATTCTCCAAGTCCATAAATTGCATTGCTTCTAACTTCCGGATGTTCGTCTTTTACCAGGGGTAAGAAAACGTGTAACATGTGAACTGCTTGATAGCTAAGTTCCGGTCCAATCAAAGCCATGCATTCGGCCAAAGTACCGACAAAAAAAGATCTTTGCGAAACCGATGATTTCTTTTTCTGAAAAACCCCATTCGACGTCTTTATATATAAAATCTCGATTGAAATATTATTTAGAAAAAATAATAATGTTAATTAAAATAATACCAATTTTTCCATTATTATCGGCAAAAGCTCCGACATGCATTGCACAAATTCATTCGAACTCATTGCTCTTCCCAGATTCGGAACGATGTCACCTGCCGTTTCTAATAATAATTCATCTTGTTCGGCATCTTCAGAATCCGGATCATCCTCGTCTTCTTTATCTTGGCACTGAGTCTTTGTGGAAATGAAAAATTATTTACATTTTTTTTTTTCTTTTTAAAAAAAAATTGTTTTAAATTAAAATTAAAAATTATTACTTTATACGTCAAAACATCTCTAATGGAATTAACTATAGCCACTCTGTGACTTCCTTCCACGGCTGGTTTTTTAATATCTTTAACAATTTCGTTCAGAGAATCCAAAACGCCAATAACGACAGAGATTTCTTCGTCGGTTTTAACCAATTCGGCACATTTGGGAATCACCATACTCAAACTTTTATTTAAAGCTAATTCAACGATAAACAATTAATTAGATCAATAATCAATTATCAAAAATTTTTTTTTTTGTAAATCGAGATTTTGTCGATTTTCAATTTACCTTGTTTCCCCTCCGGCGTTTCGATTTTCGAAAAGTTAACACAAAATTGTGCCAGTGCTTCTATCGATGCTTTCCTAATATAATCGTGCGGATAATTAACCAATTTGTATACCTCTTGAAAAGATTCTTCTAAAAATGGCAAAAACGACGATCTGCAAATATGATGATAAAACTAATTAAATTTTTAATGGCTACCAAGCTTTTTTTTGTCAGTAACCCTAAAACATACCCTGCGTAAAAAGCAATATCTTTCAAAGCTAAACAAGCCTCTTCTTTTTCAATGACGTATGAATTTTCTACGGTGTAATGATCTGCACCACTGTCGGATGATACTTCGGAAACGTTATCTATATCTTCCTCATCGGGTGTATCACTCAGATCGTCGTATATTGGCAAAACAGCATTTTCATCTTCAGAATAGTGAGGCTAAAAATTTTAATTTTAAACATTTTTTTTTTCTTTTACCTGTTTTTTTTTTTTTTTTGTTTCATTTCGAATAAAAAAACAAAAAGCCGGCAGTAGAATTGCAAAAGTAATTTCAAATTTACTTACAACAATACCGCTAGAACTTTTTAGAGATTCTATCATCATTTCTACTATTTTCGATAAATAAGGTGATACTTTATCTTTCATAACGCATGACAAAGCGGAAAACAAACCGTAAGTTGTCTTTTTAACATCCGGATCTTCTGTGTCGGCTAATTTCAAAGCTAATTGCATAGTTTCTTCTGCAAGTGGTGAAAAATGTTCCTCACCGAGAGTTCGAGCAAGAATACTTAACGTGACTAAAAATTAATTAACTTATTAAATAAATGAAAACGTTTCAATTATGAAAAGAAAAGAAAATTTTTTAGTAATCATAAATTCTAACCGATGGCTTCGATTTGTAAACAAAGTGTATCCGGTTCGTGATCTTGTAGCAAGTAGACTTTTAAGTGTTCGATGATTTTTGGAAAAAATGGCAGTATTTCCAACTTGACAGCTGCTGCGGCTGCTCCGATAGCACTAATGGCTAAATCTTGAATGTGTATGGCGTATTCCGGTTTCAAAGTCAATAGTAATCCCTCCATTAGAGACGGTAGATAAGGAGTCAATTTTTCTTCTAGATTTTGGCAAAACATTTCTAGGGCGTAAAACATTTTACCGATTCCAGGAGAAGGTTTGCCATTTTTTAAAAGTTGATTACAAAGTTGAGATAAATATTCCAAAAGGATGGGCATTAGCTCAGACGCATAATCGCTAATTTCTGGCTATAAAAAATATAAAAAAACAGTTCAATACAATATTTTTTTTTACAAGTAAAAAAAAAAAAGGATTTAATTTAAACGATTACAGTATTACTGAATAGATATAAAAGGGAAAAAGGTTACCATGACACTATCATGTTTACAAACTCGGTGTTAAATAATATTATTATATGAATTAAATGAACTTTTTACCTATTAAAAATTATTATTTTTAAAATATATAATGTCTTTAAAATTACTTTCTGTTGATTTTGAAATACACGGTAAAGTTCAAGGTGTATACTTTCGAAAACATACCCAAGAACAAGGGAATCAATTGGGCGTGAGAGGATGGTGCATGAACACGACAAGGGGAACAGTGATTGGAAATTTACAAGGAACACCTGATAAAATATTAAAAATGAAAAACTGGTTGAGCACCAAAGGAAGTCCAAAATCAAAGATCACTAAAGCTTATTTTTCGAACGAACAATCTATAAGTGAATATACACAAAATGAATTTATAATTAAAAAATAAACCGTTTGGAATTTAATAAAAAAAAAAAACAAAAAAAAAAAAAAAGTAATTACAGTTAAATAAAATAAAAATAATATAATAATAATAATAATAATAAATGAAAATATTTAAATTTAAAAAAAAAAAAAAAAAAACTTACCTGTAAATATTCAGAAAAGTGACCAAGTGCAAATAGCGCCACATTTCTCACAATTGGTGTAGGATCAGTGATTCCCCTGCATACGCATTGTAAAAACTCTTTTAAATATTTATTTCTGATACATTCAAAACAACCTTCAGCCAACATGGCCAGAGCAAGGTAAGATGCTTTTTTTTCATGAATGTTGTTTCCCGCTAATCCCTTGCTAACCCATTCAAGCTAAAATAATTAGAAAATGTATATTATCTCGGTGAAAAATTAACATTTATACTTAGTATTCACATTTACAAATAAAAAAAATAAAACATACAACTGGAGTAATTAATTTCTCAGGTGGCAAATTAAGTGCTAATACATCTAAAGTTTGAGCAGCATTAGTCGATGGGCTAGTGTCATCATCATCATCTGCAAAATAATCTTCTTCTTCTTCATTATCCTCATCTGGAGGTTCACACATAAGAGCAAATACAGTGTCAACTATTGGTTTGATGAGTTTATGCTTGATGATGGACTATAAATACAAAACATTTAATCCTTTTCTATTTACAGCCACATTGCAAACAAGTTAATTAACTTTTGTAAAAAAAAAAAAAAAAAACTTTACCTTCCTTCTAACTCTTGTTATCCAACCGACTAAATTAATAGCTTTACTTCTGATTTCATCACCTAAATTTTTGTTACTTGCCAATTCTAAACACATGTGAATTATAGCCTGAACATGAGGAATAAGTAAAGAATCTGCACATCCGGATATTTCATCAAACAATTCCAAGCAATCGCAAGCTTTTTGCTCATCTGTTGTTGCCAAATATTTGACAATTTGAATTATTTGAGGAATTGTTTTATTGTAAGCATTTTGCAACTAAAAATAAAAACGAAAAAAAGTTATTAATAAATTTTGATAAAATCAAACAACCGGAAAACTCAATAAGTGCACATAATTATTTTGCTACTTACTGCAGAGTTTGATTCGCACAATGAAACAACATGAATCATCGTCATAATTGTATAATATCCAAATGTTGTATTCAAACAATTAGGTGACTGAAATGTGTTCATAAAAAAAGCTGAAAAATGTTCAGGGTGTTTTGAAAATATGTCTAAAGCCACATCTGTTAAAACTGACAGAGTGAATACTCCTAACTCTATTTCTTCCGTATTTGTGCTTGTCACTAAACTTTGAACAAGTTTCAAAAGTTCCGGCCAACTTGAACTGGATTCTTCATGTTTAGCAATGATGCCAATAAATTGAGCTACTGAATTTTTCACAGATTTATCTTTTTCATTTATCAAAATTTGTAATATTCCCTGCTTTATACTGCAAAAATAACATTTATTTAAAAGAATGAATGATAAATAGCTGGAAACTTATATTATTTAAATTTTTAGCTTAGGTTTTTATATTGTTTTCATTTACTTTGACGTCACTATGGTATTTTTAAATAACTAATACTCACACATAATAACAATTAATAAATTAATAAAGTACTGTATAAATAGTGAATAAAATTTCTTTGAAATTAAGTATCACAATGGCGCTACAATTTTATTACGAAATGTTATACAATATAGTCAATCAAAAAAGCATTGGGTGTGCCGGTAGATTTTCGTTAATAATTATTTAAATAAAATACATAAATTTAAATTAAACTTATATGAAAAAAAGTTTTGTAAACTCACCTCGTTTTGACATCCAAAGGAAGTTTATTCCAATGTTTTTGCTTGGAAAGCCTTTTACGTAAAATAACAGCAGCATATTGACGAATCTGAGGGTTGTTACTCGTTGAAAGTACGTTACATAATGCCGGAATAGCTTCGGGATTTTTAAATGCTTCTCTAAGTTCTTTAGTGCCCTACTCATTTTTTTTTTTTTTTAATTAAAAAAAAAAGAGAACAATACGGTGAAAAAAAAAAAAAAAGGTAATTTCAATGTGCTTAGGTTAAAAACAGGTAGGATGTTAAGGTAATGAATCACGACACAAATCGTTCTTAAAAGTCAAATTAATAAAAAATTATAAATAACTTACTTGAATAATTACTGCATTGTTCGATACTAAAAGCTTAGATAGAATTTCTTCCATTTTTAAATTAATAAATAATAAAAATCTTCAAAATTAATGAAATTGAAAACATCAAATGTATAGAAAAATATAATATAATGATTTAAATTTAAAAAAAAAAAAAATCTAAAAAAAAATTCATACAGCAAATTAAGCCGTATTAGAAAAATTCAAACACTGTATCAATTAAATACATTTTTTAATTATTGAAAAGTAGAAATTAGTCGATAATTTTTTTTCAACATAAAAAAAATCTAACCTAAATGTATAACCTTCAAAAAGTGAAAGAATCGACAGGAAGTAGATTCTACCAACTGAAAATATATATATATTCTTTTTACATGTGTTAAAAGACTAATATTACAAAATATTTTTTTTATATATTAAAAGAGAAAAAATGTTAATAAAAGTAAATTTTTTGTGTAAAAATTAATAATCTTTCATCTTTCGAACATACATTATTCATACGACAAAAAAAAAAAAATTACAGTTATTCTAAATACAAAACTTATTTATTTTTCAAGTAAAAAACTTTATTCCCGCGAAAAAACAATAAATTATTTTATTAATTCCAAGTTACTTATGGCACGCATTTGTGTTGGTTAAAATTGGTAAAACTGTTTAGTTAGTTTATGTAATTTAAATTTTAAAGTATATTTTTTCAAAAAATATTTTAAAACCTCATTAAAATGACTTGTTAATAGACCGACATAACAGTTTATCGTACGGTTAATTTAAATTAATCACATAGCGAAATATCGTTACTATACTGACTGTCAATAAGTTTTTTGACAGTTTCCATACATTTACATTCAGGTATTAAACCTGTTTATTACTAAAAATAATAATGCCTCGTTCAAACGGTGTAAGTTCTTCAGATCATCAAAGGGATTCTGATGAACAAGATTCGGACAATGAAAATTGTACAACGATGTCAATGAAATTAAGGTCAAACCGTAGTAGTAAAAATACTGTTAAAAATTCTGCCAAAAGTTCAAAAAAAAATTCGGAAAAGATTTCCTCTAATAAAAGCAATGATAAAAAAAATGAAAAGAAAAATTCGAAAAAATTAAAAACGGATAAAAATAATGATGTTTTAAAAGTAAATCAAACGATAAATAAACACTCTAAAACAATACTTGACAATTGTAACATAGTCAATTACTACAGAAGTTCTGAAATGGGATTGTCATGTTCAAAGTATAAAAAATCATTAAAAAATTCAATTATAAATTATGTTAAAACTTTTAAATTGCGTGATATGCACTCACCCTTTGATAGAAGAGTCACTTATTTGGTATGGCATCATACAAATCCTAGACTTTTAGCCGTAGCATCACATGGTGGAGATATTATTTTGTACAATTGCGACCAAGATTACGAATCTGCTTCCTTTATAAAAGGAATCGGTGCTGGTGGAAGTATTCAGGTGTGATTTAATTTTATCATCCAACCTATTAAAATTTACAGATTATTAAAAATAAATTATTATTATTATTATTTTATATTTTAGGATATGAAATTTGATCCACGTAATCCAGAGCAAATATACACAGCTTCCATGGAGGGTAAATTTTTACTTTTAAATTATTCCACAAAAAAACAAGAAGCTTTTTTGCAGACAAATGATCTGAACAGATGGTAAAAATTTACTTTTTTAATTGAAACTTAAAAATGTTGATGAAATGTTGTATTTGTAACTGTAATGTATAACTCCATTTTCTTATTTTAATAAACAAAATTATCAAAATTTAAGGTTCATCAGTCTTGATATAAATTCAAATAATAATGTTATGGTTGCCGGAGACACGAGAGGAAATCTTACAGTTTTGACCCTTGAGGGACAAACAATTGGTACTTATCAATTGCACAAGAAAGGCACTAAAATCAGTCATGCTGAATTTAGCAAAAGACAACCGTGGTTACTTTGTACTTCATCTACAGATGGTTCTATAAAATTTTGGGACATTAGAAATATCAATTCAAATGATAGTAAATGTGAACCATTGCAAGTAATAAAACAACCCAGACCAATCAATGCTGCCTATTTTAGTTTAACTGATGGTTGTAGACTCATGACGACAGACCAATCAGATGAAATACGAATATATAAGTATGATTCATTTCTCAGTTTTGGTTAATATGTTGTAAAAAAAAAAGAAAAATTAATGATAATGTTTAAAAATTATTTCAGAGGTCCTCTTTGGGATATAGAAAGAGTTATTCATCATCCACACAGACAATTTCAACATTTAACTCCCATTCGAGCTTATTGGCACCCTTTAGAAGATATTGTGTTTGCAGGAAGATATCCTAGTCCAGACTTTCCAGGTACGAAAAAAAAAATATTTTGTAAATTACAAATTACCTGGGAGTTTTTGAATCATTTTCAAAAATTTTCCAAATTAACAAATGTTTCAAATTTTTTTAGGTTATCATGAAAATGAATTACGTACCATTGATTTCTTTGATGCCGAAACCGGTGCACTTCTTCATCAGCATAGCGAACCAGGAGTAAATGGAATTATGACTCTTAACAGGTTCAATAATATTGGAGATACTTTAGCATCTGCAACCGGTTCAAAATTTTTGATTTGGCGTCCAGATTTCAGACGATCCGAATTAATATCTAAAAAAGATAATTATGATAAAACGAGTGTAAACGGTTCTGAAGATGATAATGAAACAAAGTGGAAATCTGTGATGAAAAGTCAAACTTTGGAGGAAAAAGAAAAAGAGAATCTGACAAAGTTGATAATGTTAAAAATTCATCAAAAAAGAATTGAATTGAATTTTTTAATGATTTTTTAAAGTTCCTTTAATGTACAAAAAAAAAAAAAAAAATATTTTTTTACTTTAAATTAAGTTTTGTTTTTTTTTTTTTTAAATTGTTAAAAATGTTAGATAAAGTTTGTTATTTAAACTTAAAATTAGTTATTATTATTTTAAGTTAATATTTTTACTCTGTTAAGATCATTTTATAACAAATTTTTATTTTTTTGTTTTCATTCTTTTGTTAACGTTTAATTTTAAACTGAGATGTTTTTGATACAACATTTTAAAATAAGCATTTAACTCGATTAAAAATTTCCATTTTAAAGTTTTTTATTATTAATAAAATATTTGTGAAGTGATCTTTATAATAAGTTAAGGAAAAAAAAATTATTTTTTTTTTTTTTTTTATTGTTTGTTTTTGTTTTTTTTCGTACCTTTTATATTTATTTGATTTTTAATGTGTTTTTATTTTTTTTTTTTATTAAATTAGTTTTTTTTTAAAATTATTATTTCTTTTTTTAAAAAAATCCGTCAATTAGAGTAACTGATTGTAAGTATAGTTTAAATATAATAAAAGTAATTTTAATAACTTATTGAAATTAAAAGTGAATCTTGTGTACATATAAAGTTATTTCAAATGAAAATTTTTAATTTTTGATTTATATACCTGAAAATCAATTTCTTTAAAATATAAACTTATTAAAAATTGTTCATTTCTTCGATTTGAATTCTAAAAAAAGGCACACATTCAATTAAAAGAATTTTTTAATTTTCAAATGTTGGACAAATTGTTTTATTTGGCGGGTCATACACTTGCAAACTTATTTTTTTTTTTTTTTGTACACGATACATTTATGATTGGGCACGATTTTTTTAAATAAAAAATAATTATATGATAAAAAATGGCGGCTGCGATTGAAGAGCAACCAAAATTGAATATGCCATGGTATGCTATCTTTTAATTTTTCAAAAATATTATTTGAATTTTAATTTATTATGATCATAATTAATTTAATTAACTTTAAAATTATTTTTATAGGGTGGAAAAATATCGTCCACAAAAATTAGATGACTTAATATCTCAAGATTACATAGTAAATACAAGTAAGCATTTTAATAATAAATTGAATTGAGATGATCTTTCTCTCTTAATGAAAATTTTTTTTATTTTAGTTAGAAAATTAATATCTCATAAGCAGTTACCTCATTTATTATTTTATGGGCCACCTGGTACAGGGAAAACGACAACTATTTTAGCTTGTGCAAAAGTTCTTTATACTCCTGCTCAATTTGCCTCGATGGTTTGTCTTTTTTTTTTTTTATTAATTAATTGCACGCACCATAAGAAATATTCACCTAACCTAATCTTATTTTTAAAAAATTATGTGAATGCATACCGATTTGGTATGAAAAAGGAAAAAAAAAAAAATTAAAAATTTTTTAACTTACATTTAGGTTTTAGAATTAAATGCTTCTGATGATCGAGGAATTGGTACAGTAAGAGGAGCTATTTTAGATTTTGCCAGCACCAAAACTATGTTTCAAGGTGGTGTCAAGCTTATAATTCTCGATGAAGCAGATGCGATGACTCACGATGCACAAAATGCTTTGAGAAGAAGTAATAAAAATTATTATTAAAAACACTTTTTGCCATTGTAATTATTCCTTTCCTCCATAATTAATTAATAATTTATTTACTTTATTTTTCAGTCATGGAAAAATACACGGCAAATGTTAGATTTTGTATAATCTGCAATTATTTGGGTAAAATAATTCCAGCCATTCAATCAAGATGTACAAAATTTCGTTTTGCTCCTCTTGATTCGAAAGAAATTCTTCCTAGGCTAGAATATGTTATCGAACAAGAAAAGTAAGTTTTATTAAAATTTTAATCGTAGAAAAAAAAAATCTTATTTTTTTATGAATAATCCTAAATAATAATAATAATAATTAAGATTCATCTCACCTTATTACTTTCACTTTGAAATTTTTCCTTTTTAGAATAAAAATAAGCGATGATGGTAAACAAGCAGTTCTTACATTGGGTCAAGGAGATATGAGAAAAGTACTGAATATATTACAAAGCACATTCGTTTCATTTTCAGAGGTAAAACTATAAATATTTATATTTACATTTAATATGATTTTTAAAAAAAAATTGAGTTTTTAATGTATATAAATTTATATATTTACAGGTAAATGAAGAAAATGTGTATACCTGCGTTGGTCATCCACTTCAATGTGATATTTTTGAAATGTTACAATCATTATTAAACGATAATCTTTCTGATTCATACAAAAGTATCCTTTCACATAAATTTAAAAAAATTAATTCTATAAAAAATAAAATTATAATATTAACAGATATAAAAAAAAAAAAATTTTATTTTAATTGTTTTATTAATAATTAATTTATTTTTAATTTTTTTTTCTTAATAATTCCTTTAAAAGAAATTCAAACGATAAAAACATTAAAAGGTTTAGCTTTATCGGATATAGTTACTGAATTACACACGTGGGTACACAAACGTAAGTTTTAAATAATTATTCGTTTAATTTTTTATTTAAATTTTAATAATAATAATAATAATTTTTTTTTTTTGTTTTTCAGTTGAATTACCTTCGAAAGTTGTTTGTCTTTTATTAATTTCACTTTCGGATATAGAATATAATTTAAATAACGGTTCGAGTGAAAATATCGAATTGGGAAAATTATTATCAGCATTTTACAAAGCCAGAACGTTGAGCGTTGATATAGCTAAAACTCTGGAAGAAAATTTTTAAACTGAAAATTATTTATTAAAATTATTAACATCACTTTACAAATCGGTAATAATCAAATTAATTCAAATATAAACTCACGATGTTTTTTTTTTTTTTTTTTTAAAATTAAAAATTCGGCAGACATTTTTATAATTTATAAAATAAATGTCGCAATCCGTAAAATTTTTAATTTTTTTTTTTTTATTGCTTTAAAATTCAAAATTTTTTCGGGTAAAAACATGATTTTTTTATTTTACAGGGAAAAAAAGAAATTAATGAGAGGGGATTCAAAGAAAAAAAAAAAAAAAGGTTTTTTTTTTGTTTCCATCTGTTTTCTGAAAAGGAGACAGGAACAGTCTTAACAATAAACAAAAAAAAAAAATTAAATAAAACGGAGTAAATGAATTTTTTGTTTTTTTTTTTTTTTGAAAATCTTCTTCATTCCTTAAAAGGGCGAATAAGAAAGAAAAACGTTTGAAGGGATATATAGGATCGTAAAAAAAAAAAAAAAAAAAAAAAAAAAAAAAAAAAATGATCCATGTTTATTTTTATAAAGTTTTACTGCAGCTCGCGGGCCCGAATCCCCCCCGCCCACGGAGTTCTTGGGATTCATTCCAATTTCAGTTTTAAATAAAAAAAAAAAAAAAAAAAAAAAAAAAGGAAAAAAAATGAATAAAAAGTGATTTTAACTTTAAAATGTTAGAAAAAAAAAAGAGGGGGAGAGAGAGAGAAACCTTAATACCTTTTCCAAAAAAGGGGGAAAATTTAAAAAAAAAGGGAAACCCTTCTAAAAAATTTTATTATTATTATTATTATTTTAGGGTTTTTAGGTTTAATATATTGTAATAAAAATTTTTTAAATAAAAAAAAACTTGGATCGTTAAAACTAATAAAAATTAATTTTGTGAAAATTTATATTTTTTATTACGCGGTTTTAAATTTTTCTCTTTCTCTCTCTCTCTCTCTCTCTCATTTTCTTTTTAATGGCTGCTGCTGCTGACGAATAATTTAATTTGACGATAATAATTTTTATGAAACGATTATTATTATCAAATGGGTGTTTATACGAAACGAAAACGGTTTTTTTTTTTTGGTAAAAAACGGAAAAAGAAAGAAAAGGCAAAAAAAAAAAAATTGATTTATAACCGTGTGAGTCCCTTTTTGAAAAACAACAAACAACATGTATGAGGGTGAAACAAAAAGAAAAGAAATTTATTATCGCTAACTTTAAAATTTTTTTATTATTTTTCAGTTATAACTAAGTACCATTTAGCAGAAGAAAAATAATATTGAGAGAGAGAGATAGAGAGAGATAGATAGAAAAAAAAAAAAAAGGTTTAAGGTTTGTGATTTTTTTTTTGTCTGTCGTTTAAGCAAAAACATAAAACATCGTGAGAATTTAAGTGGAAAAAAAATAACTCACCGGGGGGAGGGGGGTGGAAAGGGGTTCAAACAATTATTATATACAAAAAAAAAAAAAAAAATGGTCGATCGTGGTCGTGACATAAAAATGCCAATTTTACGACGATGATAATAATAAAGTTTTGAACTGGATAAAAAATAAGAAAAGAAAAAAAATATTTAATAAAAACCGTGATTTGTTGATGACGTCGATATCGTTAAGGGTGGTTTTCTATCGCAGGTCAATCCACCAGATGATGATGATGATGATATAGCAGTACGCAAACCTAAACAAAAAAAAAATTATCATTATTTAAAACCTCTCCGGAGGGGGGGGAAGGGGGGAGGACGTGAAAAAAATAAACAATATACTCACTGTGTTCGTTGTTTGTTTGGACGTTGTAATGATAAGAGTAATCATTGTTGGGGGGTGTTATGGAACCCGCCGATTGCTGATCGGGTAAAGGACTCGGTGATGGTTTCATGTAAGCGTTTTGTTCAGAAGAAAAAGCAGAACCTACGGAAAAACTAGCGACCATGTGTGCTGCAGCGGCGGCATTGTTCCAATCCCTATCGTTTTGTTGGTATAAATTATAATCGTAGGCTTGAGGTGTCATATAATGATGACCTGAAATTGTTTAAAAACATTTTTTTTTATTATTTTATTGATTTAAAAAAAAAGTTTTTCTCTCTCTCTCTCTCTCTGTCTACTACACCCTTTTCAAAGGGTAATAATAACAATAATAATAATTTAAAATTAATGTTATGTGTAATTACATAATTTATTTTTTTATTACTTTGTATTATTATTTAAAAACATTCTTTATAAAAAATCGTTCCATTGTTTTGTTCTCGTAGAACAATCGACAAAAAGAAGAGAAGAAAAACGTTTTTTTTTTTTTTTTTTTAAATTATTTACTAACATGTAATTATTAAATATATAATTATTATTATTATTTTTTTTTTTATTTAAAAAAAAAAATTTATTTATAAAAAAGCAACAAAATTGTAAAATCGAAATTAAATAACAAAAAAAAAAAAAAAAAAAAATAAGGGAAAAAAAAGGAAAAGAAAAACATGAATGAAAAATTATTTTTTTCCGTTTTTCATTTAATCAGAGGTACGACAGCAAGGAAATTTTCCAGACTTTCAACAACGTCACCTGAATTTCGATTTCACGACAGAGATTTTACATGGCCGAGAGAAATATCGAGTGAAAAATGGTATTTTCGTAGGAAAGACAAAGAACAAATAGAAGCATTGAGACAAAAATTGAAATTGATACCCGATGATATTAAAAATAAGGATAAATTTACAAACTAATCATACTTATAAGTATACTACGTATATATAAGAAGACGAAGAGGGAAGACGACCAGGTGCGTACCTACCTGGTTGATAAAAAGAAAAATATATATTAATAATATTAATAATAATAATAATAATAATTCGTGAGTTAGTTTTTAAAAAAGCGAAGGTTTTTTTTTTTTTTTTTTTTTTTTAATTTAATTTTTTTAAGTTTTTTTTTTTTTCCTCTCTCGTCTCTAACAATAAGATAACAAAAATTGTTCGTGTATTGATAAGACATGTTGTAAATTAGGTTTTAGATGATTTTTAGTTAGAGAATAACTATTGTAGATTCGTTATTTAATTCTTAAAATACTCACAGGTATATTATTATTATTATTTATTTAAATTAAAATAATTTATTTAAAAAAAAAAAAAAAAAACCTAACAAAATTTATATATATATGCATATACGAAACCCATTGGTTTATATATTTTTTTAAATGTGAATCTTTTGGGTAAATTTTTTTTTTTTTTTAATTATTTATTTAATATAATAAAATTATTAAATTTAAAATAATTAATTAATTAAATTTATTTTATTTTATTTACCTAACGTTGGTTGTTGAGATGAATATGTACATCCGGTTGAATACCCGTCCGGTTGATTTCCGATTGTTTGCTGATGAAGGGGATGATCGAAATGAGCAGTTTGTTGTAACATTGTCGTCGTCGGACTCCCGAAAAAAGCTCCCGGATGAAATGATCCAGGTTTTAAAGTTTGACATTTTCTTTTAAATCCTCTCGGTCTTCGTCTGAAAGAACCTTCCACGAACATTGAATCGCTCGAAGGATCTATTGTCCAATAGTGACCCTTACCGGGTCTCCCCATGCTTTTAGGCAATTTGACAAAACACTCGTTTAATGATAGATTATGACGCACTGAATTTTTCCAACCCTGATAAGCTCCCCGGAAAAAATCGTAACGCTGTTGAAGGTACGTGTATATTTCGTTTAATGTTAGCTTTTTCGTCGGTGAATTTTGTATTGCCATCGCTATCAATGCTATGTATGATAACGGAGGTTTTTCGTGCCGTCGGATTCCGGCGTTTTGTTTTTTAGTCGTCGATGCCGACGTTGTTGTACTCGGTGTGCTTTCCGATGATTTTTCCAGTTTTAACGATAGTTCTTCACTTTGTGATACGCTAACCAATCCCCCGCCGGTATGATGTACCCCACTATTACCACCACTGCTACCTGTAGGTCCTAAATTAAAATTATCACTCGCCGAACTCGTTGATAAAATAACACTGTTGTGACCGTGTAGGTGATGTTGATTGTGATGAGTATGTTGTACGCTTATGTTCGGGTGTAGGGAAAGGGTTGTTGTTTGTTGGCTTAAATGATGGTCCGTTATAGTGCTACGTGAAGAATCCAAATGTAAAGAATCGTCCAAGGATTTCATCATTTTAATCTTTGATTCCAGGTGATTGATTCATTTCGTGATTTAATACAACCCATTATCAATTCACATAAATTGTATCTAGGTGAGACAAACCACTTTTTGCACATTTTTAGGTTTTTTTTGTTTTTTATTAAAGTCTTTTGACCCTAAATAAAAACTTTTCTATCATTTTTAAATATAAAAAAAATGATTTCCGAAAATGCACTTAATAATGTTGTTGACAGTTTAAAAGCACCACGATAGAAACTCAATAATTACAAATAATGCGTTTCATGCATTTAAGTCTGGAATGTTCGACGTATATTCAAACTTTCTTTTTTTTCTTAAAAACTTTTTTTTTTTTTTGGATGAATCAAAATTATTATTAAAAATAATAATAGTTGCTGTTGTAAATCATTATTGAGTTTTAATTATAATTTTTTTTAATAAAAATACGCGGGGTAAAGCATTAAAATTAAAAATATAAAAAAAAATGACCGTTAAAAAATTTTTTCAAAAAAAACATTCGTAAAATCGGTAAAATATTATTTAAAATTAAAAAAAAAGTATAAAAAACTTTTATACGCACGATAATTTTCCTTTTTTGTCGATGTAAAATAAAAAAACTACAAAATATTTTCCGTTAATTGAAATTAAAAACCGCCGTTAATTAAAAAAAAAATTGTCTTCTCGACGTTCTTCTTTATCTTTGAAACTCATCAGTAAAAGAAATCACAATTGCCAACTTTTGAAATTAAACACCTTAATTAAAAAAAAGGTTTTCATTCTTTATGATAATTCAATAATAATAATTGATTAATCATATTAAATTATTAAAAAAAAGAAAATCAAAATCATTTATTTATTTATAAAAATAAATTAATTAATTAATTAATGATTTGTTAAACTATTAATCCGACGACGACGACGTAATTACAATGTTATTTATTAAAAAAAATTTTTTTTTTTTTTTAATTATTACGTCACGAGGTCACGTCACAAAAATCCGCAAAAAAAAAAAAAAAAAACAAAATGAATGTGTGTGCGTGTGTGTAAAAATTAAGAATAAACCGTATGAGTATTTACCAAAAAGTTTATAATATGGTTAAATAAATATTTAAAAACTATATAATGTTTCTTTTGATTTTCCCCAAAAAAAGTTTATATGAACTAGCCAAGAATAAAAAAACAAATTGGCGGCGGTAACGACAACAAATAATATTAAAAAAAAAAAAAAAAAAAAAAAAACGTTTTTGATATGTCTGCTTGCGGTTACGTTAAAGATATTAGTAGTACCAAGTCTCCGTTTACACAAACAATTGGTTTTTTTTTTTTTTTTTAAATATTTGTAAACTAATTACCGTTTGATAAGCTCCGTATAACACGGTTGAACTGAAACTGAAGTTTTTTTTTTTTTTTTTTTTTTTTTTTGCTAAAAGCACCATGATAGTTTTCATATATATAATCTTAAAAACGCATCTTTCTCTCTCTCTCTCTCTCTCTCTCTCTCTCTCTCTTCTTCTTCCTCTTTCCTTCCCTTGCTCTCTCGCACGTATTCTCTATCTCTCTCTTGAACTCACTCATTCCTTATTTTTTATCTTTCTCATTTTAAAATTTTCAACACTTTCATAAAATTTGTTAGGGTTTCCATAAAAAAATATTGTAACGAAATTTTAATTTATTTAAAAAAAAAAAAAAAAAAACTTGTAATTAAATTTAAAATGATTTGTTTTTCTTATGTTTAACATACCTACCGTTTCGTACACGTATAATTTTTTTCCCGATTAAATCCGAGAGAGAAAAAAAATAATTTTTTTTTTTTTTTTTTTTATTAATCTAAATAAATGGCGGATCATTATCAAATCGTCTCCTCCTACTTAAAAAATTTAATTGCAAAAAAAAGTAATAAT